GTGTAACTTAATTACCGGTTAACTCAGTTAAGAAAAAGACGCTACTAGTGCATTTATCACCGTGGGCAATGGTGTCTACAAAAGCGCGTTGGTTCTTAGTCTTCTGAGACGAGCAGGTTTCTCTTTTCATCAGGGGTCCTACGGAGCGAAAGTCCTGAACAGAGAGAATGAAATTGGGGCTGGCCCCCCAATTTAAAGGTTGCGGAGGTTACTGATCGTGACGTATGTGGATTTACCGGAAGCTGTGGAATTATGGGAGTTCGAGTCCTTGAAAGGACTGTTGTAGTACCTACATTAAGCTTTGAGCACTGAGGGACACCTCAGTGCAGTTCTGAATGTAACCATTGTTCTGCACTCCTTGCTGCAAGTAAAACTTTGAGATCTCGTATTTGATTCTTTATTTGATTTTTATTTGATTCTTTGTGTGTTAGGAAACTGGGGTATGAACTAACAGCATTTTTACAGTCCTATCTAACAGAAAAAGTTTCCTGACAGACAGTGAGAGAACAGAAGAGAACTGACTGGAGTACAAAGAGAGGACAAGGGAGGTGAAGAGGGAAGTGGCCAAGGCCAAACAAAAGGCATATGAGGAGTTGTATGAAAGTTTGGACACAAAGGAAGGAGAAAAGGAGTTGTATAGATTGGCGAGACAGAGAACTCGAGCTGGAAAGGATATGCAGCAGATGAGGTTGATTAAGGACAGAGATGACAGGACGGTGGTGAGACCAGCCATGATGTATAGTTTAGAGACACTAGCAATAGGCAAAAGACAGGAGGTGGAGCTGGAGGTGACAGAGTTAAAGATGCTAAGATTCTCTTTAGGAGTGACAAGGATGGACAGGATCAGGAATGAGGTCATTAGAGGGACAACACAGACAGGAAGGGTTGGAGAACAAGCTAGAGAAGCCAGATTGAGATGGTTTGGACATGTGCAGAGGAGGGACAGTGGATACATTGGTAGAAGAATGTTAGAGATGGAGCTACCAGGTAGGAGAAAAAGAGGAAGGCCAAAGAGGAGATATTTGGATGCAGTGAGGGAGGACATGCAGATAGTTGGAGTCAGAGTATCTATCTGTCTATCTATCTATCTATATTTGCATCTAATCAACTGTGGAACTACATCTACAGAAACTAGTGCTAATGGTAATCATGTATTTATCTAGATTATAGATTTGTGTTATTAAGTCTATAGATCTGTGTTAGATGTAGCACCAAAGAGTTCCTGGGGAAACAATGTCATCACATTTTATGTGTGTATATGGGTGAAAAGATAATAAAACCCACTTGAACTTGAGCTTGAAATTATATTAAAAAATACATATGTAATACTAGTTTTTATGACTACTAATAATTAAGGAATTAACATACATCTCTAGGATGCGCTGGGATGAATCATCAGTGATGTTCCTGGGGTCATCGGGGGTTTCGGGTCTTTCAACATCATACCCCCTCACACACAGGTGACCAAGTCCCAGCCGCTGTAGTCCACGGGCTTGCCCTCTTGCTCCAAAGCCATCGAGTGGCTTTTTCTCCGGCTTCAGTGATGGAACGGATGGCTCCCCTCTTGACAGCTCCTGTAACTCCCAGCCCTGCCAGAGCTTTACAGATAGAACAGCTAGCAAACCTCCTGCAGCCCACCTCAATTGGTTTGCAGTGAGCCCGTCAGCCCCAGCTTCTGCACTCCTCCACCAGGTCCTGGTACTTTGCCATCTTCCTCTCATGCGCCTCCTCCAGAGTTCTGGAGAAGTCTTCCTGGGCCGGAGTCTACTGGAGAGGATGGCTGAGGCGACTGCTTCGGCAACTGCCTTGAGCACCTGGTCGTGGCACCAGCGGTAGCCACCATCAGCCAAGGCCTTGGGACAGCTGCTAAGGAGGTGTTGCAGGGATCCTCTTCCTGCACACAGGGGGCAGGCCGGTGTCTCGCTCTTGCCCCAGGTGTGTAGGTTTGCTGGGCTGGGCAGGGTGTCATAGACAGCCTGGACCAGGAAACTGATGTGGTAGCTATCAGCACACCACAAATCTGGCCACAAGATTTTTCACTGCTGCCTCTTTTTCCACCTTGTCCAGGCTCCCTGATGCCTGAGTCCCACCATCTTACTGGCTCTCACCTCCTCAACACCTGCGCGCACTTCCTCCTGGAAGAGATGTTGCTGTTCCCTGCTGACTGCTTGGAAAGGAGTGTGTGCCGTGCCTCTGCCACCTGTAGCTCTCTGGCAGCGCTCCACTTCCTGCCTGTGCGGATCTCGATGCCAGCTGCTGCCACCTTGTGGTCCCTTGAGTCTCTGTACTGCATGGCCCCCTAGTGCAAGGCCACTAAAGGGGAGTTGGAGGGTGTTGGTAGACCCATACAGGGCAGCACTGCTCAGGCTTCTCGGCAAGCCAAGCCACCTTCGTAGATAACTGCTGAGCTTCTTCTCCAAAGCTTCCACAGTTGACATTAGGACAACGTACAGCAGTAGTGGCCATAAAACCCTGGGAAGAATGACATGCTGGTAGATCCATGCCTTGAAGAGACCAGGCAGTCCAGATTTGTCAACCTCGGTGAGCCAAACTCCTAGATCACCACAGGTCCTCTGGATGGCAGCTATGTCCTACAAGCTGCAGTCAAAGAGTTTCCCCAAACTCTTGACTGGCTTTTCCGACAGTGTTGGAATTATGGTCTCCGAGATCTTGAACCGGAACTTGTCCACGCCTTTTCCCTTCTTCAAGACCAAGGACCTAGACCAGGGGTCGGCAACCCAAAATGTTCAAAGAGCCACGTGACTACTCTGCTGTACGATATTTGGTGCTTTAAGTTTAACTTCCATTACAATATTAATGTATTGTTGTGTTGCACTGATGAAATTATAGAAATACAATAAAGAAATCCAATTTTTGGTGTCTTTTATTTTGAGGATTCGAAAAAACAAAAACAAAATGGAATGTGCATAATAGGCCTCCTGTAATTTCAGACCTCCCCATGAAAAAAAATGCAGTTCGCAGCTTCCCCCCCCCCCGCCCCCCCCAATCTGGGCAACAGAGTGCAATAAAACTTAGGTTGCAGTTAAAACGCAGGCTGCAATTATAAAAATAAAACAGCACCCTTTTGAAAAGGTAGGTAGGCTATATAAAACAAAAATAAGCTTGTTTAATTACGATTTCAGTGCATTTCTGTGCATTATCCTTTTCTCTTTAGTTTTCTGCAAATGCCAAGTTAAGTAGCCTAAGTCAGTGCAAATGAATAAAAGGCAGAACAATCCTTTTCTCTTTTCCCCCTTATGGTGGCAACGGACACAAATGAATAGGCTACAATTGCAAACGAGTAATAAAACACCCCTGCCATTAAAAGGCAGCTTGCTTCGCCACAGCCTTCGTTATTTTTGCTGTGTGCTTAGGGTCATTGTCTTGTTGGAAGTTGAACCTTCGGCCCAGTCTGAGATCCTGAGCACTCTGGAAGAGGTTTTCTTCCAGGATATCTCTGTACTTGGCCGCATTCATCTTTCCTTCGATTGCAACCAGTCATCCTGTCCCTGCAAGCATTCATGTGTCTTGCACTGAGGAGAGGCTTCTATCGGGCCACTCTGCCATATAGCCCCGACTGGTGGAGGGCTGCAGTGGTGGTTGACTTTCTACAACTTTCTCCCATCTACTGACTGCATCTCTGGAGCTCAGCGACAGTGATCTTTGGGTTCTTCTTTACCTCTCTCACCAAGGCTCTTCTCCACCGATTGCTCAGTTTGGCCGGAGGGCCAGGTCTAGGAAGAGTTCTGGTCGTCCCAAACGTCTTCGATTTAAGAAGTTTGGAGGCCACTGTGCTCTTAGGAACCTTAAGTGCAGCAGATAATTTTTTGTAACCTTGGCCAGATCTGTGCCTTGCCACATTTCTGTCTCTGAGCTCTTCAGGCAGTTCCATTGACCTCATGATTCTCACTTGCTCTGCCAACCACTGAGCTGTAAGGTCTTATATAGACAGCTGTGTGGCTTTCCTGATCAAGTCCAATCAGTATAATCAAACACAGCTGGACTCCAATGAAGGTGTAGAACCATTTTAAGGATGATCAGAAGAAACGGACAGTACCTGAATTAAAAATATGAGTGTCACAGCAAAGGGTCTGAATACTTATGACCATGTGATATTTCAGTTTTTATTTATTAATAAATCTGCAAAAATGTCAACAATTCTGTGTTTTTCTGTCAATATGGGGTGTTGTGTGTACATTAATGAGGAAAAAAATGAACTTAAATGATTTTAGCAAATGGCTGCAATGTAACAGAGTGAAAAATTTAAGGGGGGCTGAATACTTTCCGTACCTACTGTATGTGTATGTGGGTGAAAAGATAATAAAACCCACTTGAACTTGAGCTTAAAATTATATATTAAAAATACATACTGTATGTAATACTAATTATTATGACTAATAATAAATAAAGTTATTTAGAGAAAAATATATTTGCTCACATTTTATTGCACTTCTTAAACGATACTTAATAAATTCCAGTTGGTACTTAAATCCAATCAATGTGTTTTTGCTAATTGGCCTTCTAGTTTGTACTAGTTAGTCATAAGACATTGGGGGGTTGATTTTTTTTAGTGGTTAAAGAGATTTATCATATTGCTCAATGGTACAGAGGCCACAGCAGTGAAATTTTTACTTTTCTTGTTGACTAAATGCTGTTGCTCCTCTCCACCTGAGGTATTTACTTGCCCTGACTAACAACAGTGAGTTCAGCCTTCAGGAAGTGTGGAAAGCGCATGTGTGCAAATCATTTGGAACATAAGGCAATAAAAGAATAAACTTTAAGAGCATAGTGTGGCACAGTAATTTTGTTTAATTAATACAATTTTTTTTGTTTGTGAAATCTTGATTAAAAATCGAATCTTTTTATAATATATTGTAAATTGTTGAATAAACCAAAAACATACTTTCACCTTGTAAGCGTGTAATTCATAAGGACAGATTTTGTTTTAAATTAAATTATCTCATAAATCATAAAAGTGCATATTTTTTGTTTGAAAATAGGGGAGGGGCTCTGCTGACCACAACCAGTGGCCCTGGTTTTCATCTTATGGTCCCATTCATCACCACATACAAGTCTGTTCAGGTTAGTCAGTGACAAACTGATTAAACCCTGAAAAAATAAAACGAATTTTTCTTAAATGTTTTATACAGAGTAATAAGTTAAATATACAGTTTAATAAGCCCACGTCACACAAAAAAGTTTGGGCACCCCTGACAATTTCTAATACTTCCATTTATAAATCATTGGGTGTTTGGATCAGCAACTTCATTCTGGTTAATCAAAAAACTGATGGACAGTAATATTTTAGAAGTGAAACTAGGTTCATTGGACTAACAGAAGATGTGCAATATGCATCAAAACAAAATTACACAGGTGCAAAAATTTGGGCACCCATGTCATTTTGTTGATTTGAATACCTGTAACTTCTTAGCACCGGTTTAATGGAACACAAAATTAGCTTGATGAGCTCATCAAGCCTTGAACCTCATAGACAGGTGCATCCAATCATGAGAAAATGTATTTAAGGTGGCCAATTGCTTGTTTGTTTCTCTTTGATTCTCCTGTGAAGAGTGGCAACATGGGGGCCTCAAAACAGCTCTCAAATGACCTGAAAGAAAAGAATATCATGGTTTAGGAAAAGGCTACAAAAATCTATCTCAGAGATTTCAGCTGTCAGTTTCCACTGTGAGGAACATAGTGAGGAAATGGAAGACCACAAGCACAATTCTTGTTAAAGCCAGAAGTAGCAGGCCAAGAAAAATATCAGAGAGGCAATGGCGAAGGATGGTGAGACAAGACAACCCACAGACCACCACCAAAGAACTACAACATCATCTTGCTGCAAATGGTGTCACTGTGCGTCGTTCAACTATTCAGCGCACTTTGCACAAGGAGGAGCTGTATGGGAGAGTGATGCGGAAGAAGCCTTTTCTGTGCCCATGCCACAAAAAGAGTCGCTTGAGGTATGTTAAAGCCCATTTGGACAAGCCAGCTTCATTTTGGAACAATGTACTGTGGACTGATGAAACAAAGATTAAGTTATTTGGTCATAACAAGGGGTGTTATGCATGGCGGCAAAAGAACACAGCATTCCAAGAAAAGCACTTGCTACTAGTGATGTGCGGATTGATCCTGAAATATCGATACTTCCGATTCTGGATCTTTATGCTCTGAAATCGATTCTGAAATCAAAATATCGATACTTACGCATTCTGAGATGAGGTGTATCCTAAACAGAAACACGGTGAAAAGTATCCAAATTATTGAGATGTTGTCTAAGTGACGCTCGGTTGGTGGGACTACTTCTTCTTCCGCCTGGGTGTGTGCGTCATGCGTAAGCACAGGGGCTCTACTCCGTGCTCTCACTCAGTCACTATTGATGAGAATTTCGGCTCTTTTTTAGAGAACCGGTTCTTTTGGCTCGGTTCACTGAAAAAC